AGGCTCGCCAGCCCCCCAAATGTCTAACCCTGCCCAGAAAACTGGCCACGAATCCAAGACTGGAAAGTGCTCGGTGGCTGCGACGGGGACCACGGACTGAGGTGCACGCACAGGCCGCTCAGCTCTACCAACATGCCGCCCACACGCGGCCCGGAGAGCAGCGCGGCCTTGAGAGCTGGCACCCCGTGCCACTCCCGGAGGCAGCTCAGCCTGCAGGAGAGAGCGAAAAGCCGCGTCAGCCAGCGTAGGCCCGGCTGATGTTAATAAAGGGGCTTCGGTGGTGCTGGTTATTGGAAACTGATCTCTTCCTTATTAATAAGGGCCCGCGCTGGAGAGGAAGATCTCTCCTTGTTCTAGAATGCAAACAATGTTTTAATCTTTAATTATATTCTCAATTTCACCTCTTCTGGAGAGGTAGAGCCACCTAGTCCGAGGATTATTTCTTTATTACATAGCCTCTCAGTGGTATTTAATGAATATTGTTACTTAATACTTGCCAGTAGGGGAAAGAAGGACTTAGTGCCAGAGTTTTGATGACTTTTCCAAAACTCGGGGCTGCAAAGTTCCGCTTCCGTCCGGAGACACTCAAAACAAGCCACCCGCTCATTCTGCACCCCAGCCCCAGCTCAGGCCTGGCACCAGGGCCCGGAGCCCTTCTGCCCCGCTCTCGGGCAGTCACTGTTCTGGCTCGGCGGCCGACTCCACGCCAGTCGGAGAGGCCGGGTGTCCGGCATGGCGTCAGCGAGCAACGCCAGCTTCTCCCCAGTCTGCGCTCGCTCAGCGCCGGGCGCCTCGGACGGCAAAACAGGCCCAAGGGATGGAGGAAACAACCAGCTCCTGCGCTGTGGCCCGTCACCGTCACGAGGCCGGGCACCCTCGGCTCCCGCGAGGGCGGGGCGACTACGGACACCCGGCCGGCCGGCCTGTGGTGCGAGAGAGGAGGTCGTCCCCGGGAGGAGTCTCATGAGCGGCGTCCTGGCACAAAACCAGCCTCCACCCTCCCGCTCGCCAC